TGTTTGTTTGTTTTCCAGCCTGAGGGCGTACTGGTTAAACATCCAAAGATCGTGACTTTAGATCCTGTTAAGAAAGGAGAAAGTGAGTTTATCTATTAAAAATCTAGATTATAATTATTAAGTCACATACTGATTTTCACCTTAATAAAACATTTTTTTCTTTGTTTAGATGGTGTACAGAACGAACTTCTTAACAGTGGAATTCAAAGGAAAGATTTGGTTCCAAACACACCTACTAGCACACAGATCTCTGTGACAGGTGAGAAATATTTGATATTTGGACAGTTTATGTGATTCAGTGGCTATATCACCCTGAACCTTCCATTGTACATTGTTATTGTTGACATTCGGGACTGACTACCTTAATGGGTGTTGTGAACCTTTTTTTGTATGTGTATGCATGCAGGGAGAGAACAAGTATCTCAGCTGGTGGAGAATGCCATTGGCGGCAACTCAATGGGTACTCTAATCAGACAACCCTCGGGCTGTGGAGAGCAGAACATGATCTCAATGACCCTGCCTGTTATTGCAACCTTGTATTTGGACAAAACCAACCAATGGGAAACTGTGGGCTTTGAGAAACGTAATGAAGCTCTCCAACATATAAAAACTGGTAGGCTCTCACAGATGTACATAAATTCTTTGGTGACAAAATAAACACACAGAGCGCCTCAAAATTGTTTCCAATAGATAAGAGTCAGATGCAAGTTGAATAGCAGTGAAGTAAAAAGATTGTTTTATTTTTTAAATTGTTTCATCAAGGTTACACAAATGAGTTGGCCTTCCGTAAAAATGATGGATCGTTTGCTGCATTTGTTTCTCGCCCAGCTAGCACCTGGTGAGGCACCCACAAACATCCATGAATTCATTCACAGTATTTTGCGCGTGCTGCTTGAATTTCTGATTTTGTACTGGCAATATATTTTATGGGCAAATAAAATGAAATTAACCTATTGTATCCCCTCTTCCTGTCTATAAGGCTGACTGCCTATGTTGCCAAGGTGTTTGCAATGGCCCATCATCTGGTTGCAATACAAGATAATGTGATCTGTGATGCTGTCAAGTACCTTATTCTCAGAGGACAACAACCTGATGGTGTTTTCAAAGAATTTACAGCTGTAATCCACGGAGAGATGAATGTGAGTGCACTGATTTCATTAATACCAGTTCTTCATCTATACTTAAAATACAAAATGGCTTATAACTAAATGAGAAACCAGTTATACAACTGCCAATCAGCTTTTATAAATATTAAAAACTATTCTGTTAGAAATAACAATAATATGTTTGTGCTTCATCTGTAGGGTGATGTGGCCGGCTTAGATTCAGACGCCTCCATGACAGCTTTCTGCCTCATTGCAATGCAAGAGTCACGCTCAATATGTTCCGACACTGTCAATGTGAGTATTTCACCTGCAAACATTGTTGTTACAAAGTATCTAAAATATTCAAAGGGTGATACTTTGTATTGCACTTGCATTGAAGAATTAAACCACAGACCAGCAAAAACAGGCAGAATTTAATTCATTTCACCAACATGTTCTGTAGGCTCACAAAAGGATGAAGAACATTATGTTCTGTTTTCCTGTCACTCATTATCTTCCTTTCTTTTTCCTTTTTTTTATCTGCCCAGAGTCTCCCAGGCAGTATAGACAAAGCAGTGGCCTACCTGGAGAGGCGCCTGCCCAGCCTCAC